ATTCCAGGGATAGAGATGATCACTCAAGGTTGGTATCTTCTGGTCTGTCTCATTTGCATGAGATGATGGCGAGACCGCTGCAGAGCCTTCTGCTTGGGTTAACTATGGTGACAATTTTCAAAATTAACTATGGTGACAAAGTCTTCTGATTCAATTTGTATATATTTAACTTGGTTTTGGCTCTATAGTATAACAAACATTTCTCTCTACTGATATCGACAACAAAATATAAGTTTTTTTTTTCTTTTTATCATTTATGCATCTATCGGGAACTCGAGATGTGTCAGGAAGTCAGAAAATGGCTTATGTTTCAAGCCAAGTACTTCTCCACTTCTTTGCTTCCAAAGTAAACTGGAACCCTCTGATAAATCTGTCAGGTATCACAAAAAAATTTAGTGACAATAAGCTTTGATACCAGGAGTTGTTATGGTTAAACTCTTGTAAGAAACTAAACATGAAATGTGTATTGGAGTTACTTTCGTAATACTTCCATCCTTAATACCTCAATTGGATCCAGACCGTCCTATGCTTGGAGAAGCCTATATGCTGCAATAAAAATCTTGAAAAAGGGGCCGGAGCTGTAGTGGGAAATGGAGCGAGCATAAACATCTGGGAGGATCCTTGGATTGATGAGAAGCCAGCTAGACCAGTGTTATCTACTCGTATGATACCTCAACGCAGTCAAAGCGATGCCAGTCAATGCACTTGAGTTAAACAGCTCATATATCCAGAAACATCGGAGTGGAATCTACACAAGCTGCAACGTCTCTTTTGTGATGATGACATATCGAAGATTGTGAGATTGAGGCCATGCAATGAGCTGTGCAAGGATGGATATTGCTGGGATTTCACAAAGTCTGGAGATTACTCTGTCAAGTCTGGTTACTGGGTTATGAAAAATCTATTGAGACAATCTGAGGAGGAAGAGACTCCAGTTAATCAACCCTCTCTGGATCCTTTGTATAAAGTGATCTGGGAAGCGGACGTGTGTCCCAAGATACGACACTTTCTCTGGAGATGTCTAAATGATTGTCTACCAACGGCAGCTTCCCTTAAGTTTCGACATCTCACAAAAGATGGGACATGCAGTCGCTGTAATTCTCAGAACGAAACTGTGAATCACCTTCTCTTCACTTGTACTTATGCTAGACAGATATGGGCTCTATCTCCGATACCAGCTCCACCGGGAGGAGAACTGTCTAGCTCACTGTACCAGAATATTTACTGGCTACTCACCACAGCGAAGCAGAATGGCAATGACTGCCTCAAGACAGGGCCGTGGATTCTTTGGCGGCTTTGGAAGAGCAGGAATGATTTTATCTTCAAAGGTGTAGACCATGATGACATGTCACTAATTAATAAGATGTTTGTGGATTTTGAGGAGTGGAGTAAGAGAGATGATATGGAGGTTAAAGAAGAAAACAGTGCACCAGCTATGAGACACGAAGGGAAATGGTCACCACCACCAACTAACTGGCTAAAGTGTAATCTAGATGGAGCGTGGAATAAAGACTTGGAAAACTGTGGAGTTGGTTGGGTACTAAGAGATCATAGCGGTGAGGTTTGCTGGATTTGTTCAAAAAACTTACCACGGTTGAGATCCCCTTTGGAGACCGAAGCTGAGGCATTGAGATGGTCTATGATGCAGATGGTTAGATTGAACTTCACAAGCGTTATATATGAATCAGATTGTCAGCAGCTGGTGGACGCCATCAACCATCGTGAGAAACATCACATGATCAATTCTTATGCTCAAGACATCACCTCTTTACTTGCAGCTAGGGAGGACTTCAAGGTAACTTTTAATAGGAGAGAGTGTAATAGTGTGGCTGATAGAGTGGCAAAGGAAGATATATCTTTAGATGACAATGTTTCCAAATTGTACTCTTGTATGCCAAGTTGGATAAAATCCCTTGTGGAAGAGGATAAAATCAGGTTGTAAAACATTTGGAGAATAATGAGTTGAAGTTGAGACAAAAAAAAAACATGAAATGTGTTTTGAGTTACGTCGGTCGGTTGGATATCTAGTACTCTCTGGTGTCCATCTGATCCTTTTTCCTCCAGCTTGTTCAACAATGAAACTCATCGGTGCACATATCAAAAGCCTAAGCTTTCGTTTTTCTCTTAGCGTCACGAGGATACCCATAAATCCCACTGTACAGCAAAGTCGTGTGAAAATCTCCGACCAAACTTCCAATGTAACTTTCCGGGTAAGGCTTCCCACTTGGACCAGGGTTCTTGAGATCATCAATGTGCTTGTTAAGATTCTTGTCGATCATCAATGTAAACCCTTCGTTGAAAGAGCAGATCTTCATAAATTTTTGTTTATCTTTGTAATGCAACACTGTAGGTGGTGGACTGTACTTCCTCACCAAGCCCATACAATAACAAGCTCAGCCCAAGCGAGTTCAGGCCCAACAAAAGAACCCTCCGGTAATCAGCAGTAAATTGAGCTTAGCTCGGCTAATCCCCGCGATTAACCGAGTTAAGAGCGTTTAAACAAGGCGCTTGAGTTAGCGTGCCGACCAAGGCCCATTTGGCGAAAGCCCGCAGGAACCACGATGAGTCCGCTAGGTCAAGGTGTAACCGCTATAAAAGGGAGAGAGGAGCTAACGAGAAGGGGATCCGAAATCACTCTCACTCACAAGGCGGCTAGAACTAGGGTTTTCACTCTTTGACTTCTTTTCCGACTTGTACGGCACGGCCGAGCTCCCCGCGAGACTCCGCCTCGTCTCTCATTTCTCTATTTGTAACCGAACTCCCTTATTAATACAAACACGTCTTTGACTCTAAATCGTAATAAACCGCCTTTGAAATAACCCACCGACGAGTCATGTCACTCATTTACTGAACAGACCGAACTCGGTTCAAACAAACACTATATCACAACCGAGTCGAATTGAAATTTCTAAAACCTGAAAAGCGAGTTAGGAGATGTAACCAAAATAAACAAGGGTCTACCAAATTGTCATATTATAAAGAGTGTACTATCAAACAGCTTAAGTTCAAGATAAAACCACACCAATATGGTGTATAGTGAAAAAGGCATCTGTATTGTATAGTCTCAAAATGAAAATATGAAAAAGAGAACATAAAAACATAGTCTCAAAACGTAAAAAAAAAAGAAGAGGAAATACGAAGCCCTAACAAAGACTTTTCATAAGCTTTACATCCTCAACATAATCTTGAAAGATTAAAACTTGATGGACGGTGAGACTTCAACTCTTGAAACCCTTGTATTTCAATTGATCTTGACAAAGTCTTCCTCTCAACATTGTAGTAAAAACATGAAAAGGATCTGAGAACAGGCGCGGCGACAAGACAATATCACATGTCCGAGTCATTCCAACAATTTGAAATACACACGGAATATGCTTCTGCTTCCACGAAAGAGGCAGTTCGTAGATATCCGTTGACCATTTATTTATCCCAGCAGCATCTTATAGCAACCACAAACGGAGAGTTATTTGATTGCTATCTGTAAAGTGAACTGCACCTAATCTACCCTTGTAGTTTATCAAAGTAGGACTTCTATCCATGCTTTCATTATCTATATTGATAAAGCTGAACTTCTCAAATCTAACATCAAAGCAAACTATCACAGACCCCGTAGGCTGAATATCAGAGTGACCGATGTAATACAACACCCTGTCTATACAAGTCATATCACAAGACACGTTAGGGAAATGGGTTTTGCATTTGATACTTCTCCATAAAAGTTTTCCAGTCCCCAATGTCAGAACCAGAGATTGAGACTGGTTAGCGGATATACATAGCACTTTAAATTTTTTGTCTATCGGATCATGCCCGCAATAAAACATTGGAAATGATAATCTTGTTCTCAGCTTCGGGTAGTGTAAGAAACTCCCCAGTGGCGGGATTACAAATCACCGGGGGCTTCATGTAGTTAAAAACCATAGGATCGAAAGAAACTCGAATAATTATAAGGTAACCAGGGGTATTTCACGAACCATCAAGACTCGAATCATAAAATTCGGATCTTCAGTGTCCATAACTTCAGAAACATTACTGAAACTTTATGTAATTATATAATTTGGTATAAGTGTAACTATAATCTAGAACTATTTCACACTTGTAGTAACTGTACAACTTAGTAAACTTTCAACTAATTTTGACTGTATCCTGTACATTTGCAATATGTTATTGATATATTTAGTGATAACATATCCAAGACAATATAAAAATAGTTATTCATTTACATTATGTTACTGATATATTTAGTGAAAGTAAAATAAATAAAAACTATAGACATTACATTAAGAGAAATGTATTTTATATAAAGTTTAGAAAAGTATATAACGGTGCATGACATAACTTACAAACACATGTAAATACTTCATCCCTAATCTTCAATTGGCCACTAAGCAGCAGTCAAATGAATATCATTGCAGAAGTCCCAAACTGCACATTACCAGAAAAATCGATTGTATCTCCACCGTGTTCTTGATCCATCTAAGGAGATAACAAACACCGCTTGTATCATTTCAGAGCACCAGCAATTATAATTGATCTTGAGATCTATCTTTTCCAATAGAGACATAAAGATCTGTGGTTTTTTGTAACCCCAATAACCTGAAGATACCTCAGTAGCGATCATGTGATCCATCTGATCAACAAACTCACGTGTAAAAGTAGGAAAGTTATGAACTAGTCCTCTATCATCAACACTAAATGCTAAGCTGAGCATACCATCAACGTAATTGGCCAACAAAAATCCCTTCTCACCAGCAAGACATTTTTTCCCTTCGTTCATCAAGTAAATGGAGGACGAAGAACTCATACATACCTCGCAGGTAGATGGCCAGTGGATTACCGTCTTGGTAACACTAAAGCTTGTATGTTCTGACAGAATTAACCTCATCAGTCCAGTCATTCAAGTGAATAAGATCTACAGTTTTGTAGAAGTATTCTTCTCTGCCAATTTGATTGTAGGCGGGTAATGCAACTCTTCCACTAACGAAGTCCCGGAGATCGTTTGTTGCTACCTTTGAGAAAATCTTGTGAAGCATGGAAGGAGGGAGAGAAGCCAAGTTAGAGTTCGACAT